AAGAATGGAAAGGGGTATAAGACTAATGATAAAGTGGATAGGGGAGACTGAGTCTCCTTGAAATAAACCTCTATTAATTTTAATCCTCCCAAGGGAAACTTTACCAAGCATCAGGTTAACATATGATTGATTGAATGAGGCTTCAAAGAGGTCTATGATGGATGATGAGATACCGCACATGGTCATACAAGACAGGATCCAGGAGTGTGGGACGCTATCATACGCCTTCTTGTAATCTATAAACGTCATGTTCAAGTTCCGCTTCCTTCGTTTACAATTCTTCAGTATAAGTTTGTCTATCATTAACTGTTCTTTACATCCTCTGCTCTTCTGCTCAGGGGGGAGGAGTTTCTGTTGGTCTAGGTGGTAGTAAATGGAATCTGAGATTAGCCCAGTGAACAATTTCCACATTGCTGATAAGCATGTAATTGGTCTGAAATTGCCTGGGATGGGTCCCTTGGAATGATCCTTAATGAGCAGGTACGTGCGACCCAGTGTCATCCATTCTGGGATATCAGCATTGGACAGGCAATTCATCAGTTGATCTGCAATCCTATTGTGGAGTTCTTTAAAGTGCTTTATCCAATAAGCATGCAGTCCATCTGTACCAGGGGAGGACCAGTTGGTCATTTTCTTCACTCTATCTGCAACCAGGGTGTTAGTTATAACAAACTGTCTCTGTTCATCTGCTGAGGCTAATGCTGTTCTGACATCTGGTAACCATTCAGCATCGCTGTTATGTTCAACCGGCTTCTCCCATATGTTCTTCCAGAACTTCAAACAAGTGTAAGCAGTGGACACTTGCTTCTCGGTTCGAAGTTTATTTGCATTTAATTAAGGGTTTGGACAATGGAAACGAGCGTGATACTAAAAGGTACACAAAATTAAACTATGAAACAACACAATGAATAATCCGACAACCTCTACTTCAAATCCTAATTAACCAGACTCGTATCGCCTATAAACGCCCAGCGATCTAGCGAATAGGGTGAGAATACAAACAAGGGGTATAATAAAGGTACCCAAGGTACTTAACTGAAGTTAACTCTAGATGCCCGGGCTCTTACTCTTAATCTAGCTTTACCTGTCTAAGTCAACCAGTGCTGACTATTCCTCCCGGGCTCTTATTCTTAGTCTAGCTTTACCTGTCTAAGTCAACCATTGCTGACTATTCCTCCCGGGCTTTTACTCTTAATCTAGCTTTACCTGTCTAAGTCAACCAGTGCTGACTATTCCTCCCGGGCTCTTATTCTTATTCTAGCTTTACCTGTCTAAGTCAGCCTGACTGCAAATGCCTCTATCCTGATAATAGTAACTACGTAATGCTCTACTATTAGATGACCGCCAATATTATACTGACCACTATAACCATCTACCTAACTGAACGACCTGACCTTAACAGGTTCTAGCTACAGAACCTGCCCGGTATCAACATGACCCCCCTCTCGATCGGGTAAACTGGCACTCCTCTATCTCAAAAGGCTAATCGTATTTTCCTCTCGCCCCTGATAGTCTAAACAATCTACCATTTCCCGGGAATTGCAAACTGTCCTGTCGATAGCCACAACATTGTAACACTAGTATTCTGTAAACACTCCATAACTCAACCTCGTACTGACCCAAACATATGTTAAACTGACCTCTCTGCACTTAAACTGCAATAACTGTCGTATACTAATATATGCCCAAAATACTACCGTCACATACTGGACACCACGACCGCCTTATTATAATCATTACACTATCTACATATTACACAATATTACCCTAAATTCATCTCAATTAATCACTGCTTACACAACTTTACAAAATATGTTCTTTCATAGAACCTTACTATACTGGTACAATAATTTAATGGAAAATCTCTTACTATAGACCATATCTCTTGCCCGGTCACGGCTTACACAACTTTACAAAATATGTTCTTTCTTAGAACCTTACTATACTGCTACAAGCCCTTGATGGAAAATCTCTTACTATAGACCATATCTCTTGCCCGATCACAGCTTACACAACTTTACAAAATATGTTCTTTCTTAGAACCTTACTATACTGGTACAATAATTTAATAAAGTTTCACAATATCCAAACTTAACGGCTTACTTTATCTGTCCATTTTCTCTTTCATCTCTTCTTATCCCCGTCTCATTCTTCGTTGCGAACATCCTCATCTGGATCCGGTCCCGAGTCTCCGTTCGTTGTTCAACATATCTTCTTCTGGCTCTCGCTCCAGGTCTCCGCTCCTCGTTCTGAATATTTTCCTCTGGATCCCGTTCCACGTCTCTTGTCTCCTTCCAGATATCTACTTCTGGATCTCGTTTCATGTCTCTTTTCTCCTTCCAGATATCATCTTCTGGATCTCGTTCGATGTCTCTGTTCAGAATACAAGTTGATGTACTACGCATCTCAATCCGTGGGTTTAGTGTCACTGTCTTTCTTGTACTCCAGGTATGTTAACCATCTTCTCCTCACCGCCCCTGTTGGGTGATACTCTCCGATAGTTATTTATTAAGACTTTGTTTTAATTTTCATTTCAATATCGACAGTTCATTCAGTTCCAAGTAATTTCTGATTTATCTGATTTTTTGTGATCAATGATGTTGCACTGTTATTTCGATATAACTACTGTTATATAAATCTTATGACTCATTCTGACTGTTATATAAATTTTGTGACTCATCCTGACTCTGTATCTCCTTCCAGCCTATCCGCATTCTCCCGTAACTCGTCCCCGACCACTCTGTGGACTGTGTCTCCATTTCTCAGCTCTTGTCTCCGACCCGTCTATGTCTCCATTTATCACCTCACGCCTCCGTCTCGTCTGTGTCTCCATTTATCAGCTTTCTGTGTCTCCATTTATCAGCTCTCGTCTCCGACCACTTTGTGTCTCCATTTATCAACTCTCTGTGTCTCCATTTATCAGCTCTCGTCTTCGATCACTCTGTGTCTCCATATAATAGCTCTTGCCTCCGACCACTCTGTGTCTCTATTTATCAGCTCTCTGTGTCTCCGTTTATCAGCTCTCGTCTCCAACCACTCTGTGTCTCCATTTATCAGCTCTCGTCTCCACCAACTCTGTGTCTTCATTTATCAGTACTTGTCTCCGATTGTACTGTGTCTCCATTTATCAGCTCTCGTCTCCGACCATATTGTGTCTCTATTTATCAGCCTTCGTCTCCGACTACTCTGTGTCTCTTTTGATCTGTTTGGAGAGGCGAATCATACACAGTTTAGGCTCTTGAAATCTTCGAATTAAAAATCATCTTGAGAGAACCTCCTCAAATTATTGGTTATATAGTAGTGTTGAAAGTAAGACTGGTCTCCATTTATCAGCCTTCGTCTCTGACCCCTCTGTGTCTCCATTTATCAGTACTTGTCTCCGATCGTACTGTGTCTCCCTTTATCAGTACTTGTCTCCGATCGTACTGTGCCTCCACAAAATTATAAACTGATTACACATCACACCTCACCATATCTCTCCTTTGGTATCATCACCGTATCAATACTAGACTCTGTGTCTAGAGAATCATGTGATTTTTTCTGCACTTGACACTCACTGATTTGGTCACTTTCAGTTGTTGCCGTTCTCCGCCAATCATAATCTGATCATTCTCTATGTCTAATGATACCCCCAGTTGCTTCATGCTACATCCTCCAAAACAAAAACTCAAGTTTCTCTCGACTTCGCTGACCTTTTCCTTCAACTCTTCAGGTATTGACTCTAAGAATGTGTTCAACCAAACATCACCACACACATTACTGGTTGTCCCAGTGTCACTCAATACCTTGTTCAATGTCTCATTGACTAACAGCACTGTCTCACAGTAGTCATTGTCAATTTTGTTTGATTCTTTACCATTCCTGCACGACTGATACATACACACTGAGCCCGAATCCTTCTTTCGAACATCATTAACATTGGGATTATGTTGACAATCTGCCCGGAAATGCTTATTTGAATCACAAATTGAACATCTTGCTACATCGCCTGTTTTGTGACTGATAGCATTTAACTCATCTTTGTAGTCTGAGTTATTCCTTTCTTTTGAATTGAGCTGTTTGTCTCTTTCCCATGGTCTGCTGTAATTTCCAGATCTCCCTCTGCCATTGGAGTAATTGTTATAACCGCCAGAAGAGAACGATTTCCTTCATCCTTGTCCTCGATTATTGTATCCTTGATAGAATGTATATTCTCCGTTATCACCACCGATATCAGTATCCTTTTCATCAAACTGACCCCTATGGTAAAGCACATCCGATCCAGGTTCTACCTTAATCTTCACTGTGTCTAACTCCAGTCTGGATCTACGACAGAAAACAGCGTCACCGAACCACCTCTTCAAACATTCCTCAATTGCTTTACTCGTCAACTTTTGAGTCCCCATTGCAGCTTTGATCAATATCTGTTGATCTTTGGTCAGGGTGGCCTGAGTTAACAACCTGTATGCCAACATACCATCATGATAAATTTCTTTCTTGTAATTAACAACTCTCCGATCCGGTTCAATCGTTTCTTGAACTCAGCGATATATTCTGTCATTTGCATTTGTTCCGGTCTAACAAACTTTTCTAGATGATCAATACCTAGAAATATACTCTGAGTATATATCTAAATATACTCTAAGCGTGTTGCAAAATCTCTTGCCTTGAAATCCTGGATCCTCAAGACACACACTGCAGCCTGCTTAGCAGCTGCTATCGAAGTTCCCAACTCCCAGATGCAGACCTCACGTTTCCACTTCAAGTATTCCATCCCCTCTGTCGACAAAGGTGGTTGGTCTCCTCCCATGTCTTATCAGTTCTTCTACCTGCTACCAATGATAAATTTCTTTCGTCCATAGCTTTCTGTACAAGAGGATCTTGCCCTCTTTGAAGACCTCCTCGGCCACCGTGTCTTTGCGTACAATCCATTGCAATATGACCCTGTCTCCCGCATCCATAACAAGTGGGGGCTTTCTACATTCCTTTGCGAAATGTCCATGCTGTCCACAGGTGTAACCAGCACCGATGTTTTAATACTTTCAACACTACTATATAACAAATAATTTGAGGTATGACCAAAGTAATACGAATGTAATACGAATGTAATGTTAATGGAATGGAACAAATCTCACATGTGAACTCTTCAATTTGCTTCAATTCAAATCAACAACTTAATCCAAATCATCAACTCAATATCATGGACGATTCAATGGAAACATTTTTTGGAAAACTATTGTCGGAATGTGATCAAAAATGCAAAAACTGTACTGCACTCAAATCTCATGTCAAGTTTCTCGAGCGGAAAGTGATCATCCTAGAAGACATTGTTCAAACTTCTCAGACTATAGCAGAGATTAATGGTACGTTGTTACATCAAAGTACCAATCAGTCAATAGATTATCGGGCTGTCCTGGATAGGTGTTCAGATGTTGCAGTTCAGACAGAATTTGAAAACGGTCAGATTGAATATGACAGTGAATGCGAGGTGCCTGAATCTTTCATGCTAATCAATAGTGATGGCATCATTGAAGCACCAGATTCTATCATTTCCAACAACACAGAAAATCAAATCAGTGGGAGTACAGGATCTGTCAATCCATGGAGTGGCAAGTATTATGCTGAAATAGATGTAACACCCATATCTAGTGTGGCCTTAAGTGTAAATGACGAAAGCCCTGACATTATCATACCACCTGTTGAACTCATTGATCAGGCACCGTTTCAAAAATTCTCCTTAGACATCTTCCTGAGAGAATTGGATTTTAGCCACCAGTTTCAAAATAGGAAAACAGCTTACTTTGGGGACTTCCCATATGTGTATAATGGGGGAAGTCACGAGGCGAAGGAGATACCACATCAGTCCTATCTGGCTGCTATCTGTTCATATCTTGATGTGTTACTCCCGGATTATGTTTACAACAGTGCTCTCGTAAACTACTACAGTACTGGGACAGAATGCATGCCTATCCATAGTGATAATGAAGAATGCATCGATGAAAACTCTTATATTGTTACAGTTTCTCTGGGTGCCTCTAGGACGATGCAGTTCACAGAAATTCAAACAGGAAAAGTGGTGTCTGCCCTAGATCTAAAGCATGGGGATGTTTGTATCATGTCTAAAAAATCCCAGCTTCATTACAGACATGAAATCTGTACTCAACCATCCTGTACAAACAAAAGGATCAGTATCACATTCAGACTGATCAAACCTGTAGCTGTTGTCCAAAGATTAACAAGTACACCAACCAACATGTGCAATGACAATTACCATGACCCATATGAAAACATCTCCAACTCCAGCGGCTATGTACCTTATCAAGAAGACGAGTTTATAGTTCATCCATCAAGGAAAACGAATGGTGCTTATCAGCACCGACCTCTAACCCCACCCTATACATCTCCACCACCCCATCTGCATCAATCAGGGCGGCATGTTAACAGACAACAATTGTTCGAAAAGGAGACACCCAACGATGTGAGCACAGTTTACATCAGCAGCAGCATCTTCAGGCATCTGAATGAAAAACTGTTGAGCTCTTCATCTCAGAAGGCCAAAGTATTTTTCTACCCAGGGGCCAACTCAATCCAAATGTCCCAAAGACTCTTTAGCGACAGTCAGTTCAAAGTTCTCAACAAAGAAAAGGTTAAAAAGGTTGTTTTACTAACTGGTACTAACTGTGTTGATCCAATTGACCTCAACACAATGAACTTCAACAGTGCCACCAATGACATGGAAGAATTTGTTCAAAAATTGTGGGCAGAATTTAATAGTGCAAAAATATATATCTTAAATATTCTGCCTAGAGCTGTCACTAGTAAGAACATTATAGTGCAGGGACTTAATCGATACTTAGAGAATATGTGTTATAAGCATGGGCTCATATACATTAACACAGAACATGAAAATAATCTCTTTACTTTAAATTATAATAGAAAGGACAAGTATTTTGGCAGGGGCCATGACAATGTGCACCTTAATAAGTTAGGAATTGCCAGGCTTGGTAAGCATCTCAAATATGTAACTCACTTGTGTTAAACTTCATTAAAATTCTATAATCCAAGGGTATCAACATGAATAATAACAGGATTACTGTTTTATCTGGTTTAAAATGTTAGATCAGCACAAATTTCTAATAACTTAACGTTTTTATATCTCTCAAGCTATATTTATCACAAACAGAAGTGAGTTACTATTTTATGCTGTTAAATTTTATGATTTAAACTGCAGTATAATTGCTGATCCGAAATCCAATTTAAATCATATGTATGACATGATTTGAAACTTAGTCTACTTGGGGAGACTGCATGTGGATTTGTTCCCCATTAGCTTTGGTTTAACCTTATTCGTACCTCAATAAACGATAATCTCTCTCTTGGTCTATGTAATATACAGGGTGGCCTGACTAATCTGGCAAAAACTCTCGAACTACAGGAGCTAATATTTCGCGAAAAGCTTGACATAATTGGAATTAATGAGACAAACCTTAAATCTGATATAGACACTAGTACACTTAACTTCCCCTTAAACTTTGATTTTATAAGGTGTGATAGACCTAACGATAGAGGAAGAGGAGGGTGTGGTATATTGATCAACCAAAATGTTAACCACAAATTACTCAATTTAGATATAACCTACTCTGATATTTCTAAAATCGAAGCTATATGGATACAACTCAAGGATGCCAATCTTTACATTTGCTGCTTCTACAGATCACAAAACTTTTGTCACCTAGATACTTTCCTTGATTATATGACTGAATGTATGATGAAACTTCAAGGTAAGAAAGTAATATGGATTGGCGATGTTAATGTTAACCAAAACTCTTTATCTGATCTAGATTATAAAAAGTTAGATATAACAATGAAGCTCTTTGGAATGATACAGACTGTTACAGGAATTACTAGAGTTGCAAACTTAGATGGTAGAATAACGCAGAGCACAATAGATGTTGTCATGACTAACTGTTACTCTAATTTCATGGAGTGTAAAGTACTTGATGATAGAATAGGAGATCACCAAGCTCTCAAATGTGTTCTTGACTTTAAAGTCAATAAAGCTAGTAAATTCCAGAAGGTCCTTATCAGAGACCACTCCTTAAACAATCTAAAAGCCTTAAGCTATTCTCTGGGATCCTGCAGTAACTACAGTAATATTCTAAGCTGTACTAATGTAGACCATGCCCTAGATGGACTTAATCATCACATCCAGGAATCGTATGATAATTACTGTCCACCTAAACAGATTAAGTGTAATAGTAACTTTCTTTGTAATCCCTCTAAAGTACTGTTGGCAGAAATACGGAAGAAGAAGATGCTTTTCAGAAAGTATAAAAAGTGTTTAGGACAATTTAACAAATTCAAGTGTAAGTGTATTAATGGAATATGTAAATGCAGAAAAAGTGAACTACATAAGAAATGCTCTACTTCGTGGGATAACTATCGTCCCCAAAGAAACTATGTGACAAAATTATCCAAAGAAAACAGACGTACAAATATTGTTCAGGACCTTACTGTGAAAAGTGCAAAAAACGATTTGAAAGGTATTTGGAAAACTATCAAACATGCTTCAAACTTACCTGGAAAAATAAGTAGCTCTTCCCCAAGCAACTTAAATGTTAATGGAGTTAACCTGCATTTTGCCACAGTTGGTACAATAATACAAGAATCAATTAAGGAAAAGGATTCAGACGACTTCCTAGAATATATGCCGCCTCCAACAGAGTGTAAACTCTCTGTATTCGAAGAGGTGACTGTTGAACAAGTAAAAGAATATATACTCAGTATACCATCAGATAAATCGATTAACGATATCATGCCCATCAAAGTATATAAGTATATTATTCCCCAAATCATCGATCCAGTAGCTCATATTATAAACCTTAGTATGAAAAGTGGAACAATGCCGTTGGCATGTAAAATTGCATCAGTCACTCCAATTCTTAAAACTGGTGACCCTAATGATCCAAATAACTACCGGCCAATATCCATACTCCCCCTAATTGGAAAATGCATAGAATATTTTGTTAACCAACAGCTTACAGAGTATGTTGAAACAAATAAACTGCTTACCAACCATCAGTATGGATTTAGAAAAGATCATTCCACCACTTTTCTAATGCTTAATCTATTTGATAAAATATTTACGTCTAAGGAATCACAGAAGAAACCTGCAATTGTATTCTTAGATATTAAAAAGGCCTTTGACACAGTAAGCCATAATATTTTATTAAAAAAACTTAAGTATTATGGAGTTGATGGCTTTGTCATAAAGTGGTTCAAAAGCTACCTTGGGGACAGAAAGCAGCACACCAAAATACGTGGTAATGTAAGCACATCACTCCCTGTTAAAACAGGTGTGCCACAGGGTAGCATATTAGGACCAATTCTATTTAGTTTATTCATAAATGATCTCAGTAGAAATTGCACACAATCTACTGTTTACTTATTTGCAGATGACAGTGCACTATATTTTGATAACATTTCCCGAGGCATATATGAGAATGTAATTAAGGATATGAAAATTGTGTATGAATGGCTTAGAATCAACAAGCTGAGACTAAATGCTGCAAAATCTTCATTCATTGTATTTGATAGATCACCTAATCTGGACACGTTGTCAATCCCTCTGGATTTGGAAAAAGATTGCATATTTATAGAAGAAACTAAATCTCAAAAATATTTAGGTCTCATGATAGACAATTTATTGAACTTTCAAGACCATATTGATTATGTGAAATCAAAAATTGCTAAAAGAATAGGGGCATTATACAGGTCGAAAAATCTTCTTCCACTGAAATATAGAAAAATGTTTGTAAATGCTCTTATGCTCCCCCAATTTGACTACCTGGATATAATATGGTGTAGGGCTGCCAAAACCAAACTTAATTCTCTTGATATATTATACAAGAAAGTAGCAAAAATTGCTCTGGATGTTCATTGGCAGGAACCATCAGTAAATGTATATCGAAACATGAAGTGGTTACCCTTACACTTAAGAAGACAACTCCATCTATCAACGTATATGTATAAAATTCTTAATGAGGCTGCACCATCATCATTCACAGATAAA